GACTAATTGTCATATTCATCTTTGAACCATGGACCAATTTTGGATATGCATTTATAATTCTAATCAGAATAGAATAAATTTGAAAGTGCAAAGGGAAATGCTAATTTAAGAACATTTATAACTATAATTCTTTAGATTGTCATTGGGCATAAAGGAGAAGTGAGATGGTAGAATTAGACAAAGCCAATCTTACCTATTCAATAGTATATGTGATTATTTTATATTTCCTTTATCACCTTCTGCCCAGTTTAGCTGCTGTCTAATTAATTTTGTACTGAAATAAAATTTCAGATTGCACAGCTTACTAAAACAATGTTGTACAAAACCCATTGACCAAGAAATATGGAATGACTCAAAATAAAAGGAAGGATAGTAATCTCGAGATCTGACTCCTGTGGCCATACAGAGTAGATAAGACCTATGTATTCCCCCAAATATCTTTGTAGAGTACTGCTTAAATTTATATTTATTCTTCATGAGTTGCTATTGTATTTTCTACTTTGGTATGTAGAGATGGAGAAAAATATTGAATAATTGTAGAAATATGAGAATTGAAATTCTTGATTCTTACAGTTTTAGAAAAATGATGTAGGTTCTATCCATGTTAGAATTGTTGATGTGGATGAAAGTATTAACTTTATGCTTTTCAGTGGGCCCATAGATCATAGATTTCTTCATGTATTGTATGTCCAGATATGGATAAAATGACACTTATTGACAATACAATACATTCAATGCATGGAAAATGAAATTTTCCTTCAAAAAGATGCACTTATGTGGAAAACCTATTGCCCACAGCCACAGAGTAACATATTAATTGAATATACATAGGTTTATTTTCATGCAAAGTCATCTCTCCTCCATTTCATTGAGTAATCCAATAACTTGTCATGTGAAATCTGTGAACGTCAGCTTGGTCATTAAATGGTTTAGTCTCTTGGAGGTAGCATTATGAGGAGTTTTCTAAGCATCTAGTTAGAATAAATTTAACTGTTCAGGCTTAATAAATAAATGCTTATCATTCTGGTGTAACCCAAGACTACAAATGAGTTTGTAGGATTACTTTAGTAGATGTGTTGTGATACTTCTTCTGACCTGACTCTCTTATCTGCACACAATTTCTTTTGAACTTCAAAACCTCAATTAAGAAAGATACTTTCTTTCCATTTATCTTCCCCTGTTCCTATTCCAAGTTCTGATATAACTGAATTATGTTGGAATTTTTCCTAATACATTTACAAAGCTTTGTTATCAATACACAAAGTAAATTGATTATGTCTTGTAATATACAGCTGGTTTTATTATTAGAACTGCAGACAAATAATGCCACAGCTCAGATGTATTTAGTAGCAATTGGTGCTTTATTTTATTCTTGAAAATAGCAAAGATTGAAAGAGCAAGCTGTCCTTGTTTTTGTAATAGTTGGGGATAAATTTATCCTGGAGCCCTTGGTCTAATTTTATAAACACCGCAGGAAAACAGTTCAGACCTTTGATAAGCATTGTGTCTTCTTTACAACAAGGTGTTTAGAAGAGAAGAGAAAAATATTGTCCAAGAAAAAAGAGGTTAGAAAATAAGCTTCTGCATTCGTTTTTACTCTGAGCTTAAGCAGTGTTTGCTTATGCTCTGCCCACTATGTGGCCCACCAGATTACTCTTGAAAGAAAATGAAAAAACAACCTTGTCTTTGCCTTGTATAGGGGCCAGCCATCCAAGGAGAAATCTCTGCACAGTTCCTTTTCTCAGAGCAAATAAGAATTACATAGTAATAAAATGAGTACTTTGAAGTGCTTTCAAACACATTTATTTCGATAATTCTTCAAGCAGCTTTGATGAATTTGTTCCACATTTCAGGGAAAAGTGATCAAGAGCAGTTTTTTGAAAGATGTTTTTAGAGTTTGGAAGTAAAATGAACCAAGGAAGCAGAGTTTCATAATTTCTGTGTTTAGTCACAGCAGTTCTGTAACACTCTGAGCATCAACTTATTATTATTATTATTATTATTATTATTATTATTATTATTATTATTATTATTATTATTATTGTTATTGTTATTGTTATTGTTATTGTTATTGTTATTGTTACTGTTATGGTTGGTCACACAGTCAGCCAGATGTTTAGACTGTATTTGGCATTTTTATCCACCTATTGAGTCCTTCCCCAGAACCTGGGATAGTTTGATGGAGCAAAAAGTATCATAACAGAATGTAAGCTGTTTCAAGTAAAAACTGCCTTTTGCAGTTGACTGATGGTGATTTTGTCAATGGTATTCAAGTGGTACTCCTGAAGTTTTGGGATTGCACCCAAGGTGCAAAGTGCCTGTTACTATTGGTCTTACCTTTACTTTCTTTTGTCACAGTCATTCTACATCTATATGCAGATCTTCGTATTTTGTGATTTTCTCCCCTTCTTTGTCTTCTCTTCGGTTGTCTCCAGGAATTGCCACATCCACTATCCAGATGTTTTTATCTTTCTTATAAACCGTAGTTAAATCTGGAGTGTTGTGTGACAGATGCTTGCATGTTTGAATTCTAAAGTCCCAGAGCAATTTAGCTTCTTCATTTTAGAAACAGATAGTCTAATATCTAACATAACATAACATATATAGTGATTCCATTATCCAATGCACTTTTGTTTCTAAACATAAAAACTCCTCGGGGTTTTTTCAGCTATATTGTATAAAGTTGGTACCAGTTAAGTATTTAATTAGTCTCATACAAAATGGGGATGCAGTTCTGTTTTAGAATTGGGCTGTTTTTAAGCAGAAATGCAGAGTGCATCTTAACCTAAGAACAATTCCTGGGTTCAAATCCCTCATCAAACTCACTTGCTTACCAGGTTAAGATCCTTTATGGAAGAATGATGAAGATACAGTATAATGATAGGAAATGGTAATTTAGTGAGGTGATGAGGTTTTTGTTGCATCTGTTCCTACAGCACAACAATTCTTAGGATTCTGGGAAAAGAATATAGCTATTATTTTAAAGTGCCCTGTGGATAAGTGAAGGTGAAAAGGTGCCCTAGAAAATACAAGAACAGCTAGAAGGTTCTTTATGTGAAACAAATCTATTTTAACTGGAATAATTACTTTAGCTGACTGAGTATAGTGTTCCCTGGATATTTTCTTTTACTGGATTTTTTTGAAGCCGGTGTGTTTTGCTTCCAAGGGTAACTTTTCTGAACATAATAAAAACTCAGGTTTTCACCTAATTATACTCAAAATGCATGTTATTATTCCTTCATTGGAGAGGTGATTATGCACAATCCCTGCCAAAAATCATAGAAAGTCATGAGATATTAAATGTTTTCCAGCCTGTACAGGTTATTAGCAATATATACAGAATTTAATATACCAGACTAAACTGGCTTGCTAAGTACATACCAATCTCGAGGCAGTGTGTTTGTTTTGCAAGCATTTCTTAATACAAGTAGTCTTTGCCGAGCAGCCATTCCAAGTTGTGACTGGCCCTTGAAGTTGTGGTGGTGACAGCATGCCTGCAGTCATGTAATTGGGATCTAGGCACTTGGCAATCAATTTGCACTTATGGTTACAGAGTCCTGCGACCACATAATCACCATGGTGCTCAGTGGTTAGAGTGCAGTACTGCAGGCTACTTCTGCTGACTGCTGGCTGCCTGCAATTCGGCAGTTCGAATCTCACCAGGCTCAAGATTGACTCAGCCTTCCATCCTTCCGAGATGGGTAAAATGAGGACCCAAATTGTTGGGGGCAATATGCTGACTCTGTAAACCGTTTAGAGAGGGCTGTAAAGTGTTATATAAGTCTAAATGGTATTGCTATTTGTAATGTTCCCTGCTGGCTTTCTGCAAGCAAAACCAATGGGGAAACCAGCAGGAAAAGTTGAAGATACTTCTATTAAGGCACTTGGATCCTCCCCTACTTTGTACCGGGCACCCCTGTCTATAATCTTGCTAAGCCTCTCAGGCCACTCACATACCTATCCCTACCCAACAGCAGCCACTCCTGGCACCACTATGCCTTACCTGCCTGCAGGCCTGCTTTCAACCACCTGGGAGTTGCTTAACAACCCAGGATCCTCGCTTAACAACAGCAATGGGGAATGCAGGATTGTCATCGTTAAGCAGTGCATTCTGGCGACGTTGTGCTTTATAACTACATCACTTAGCAATGGAAATTCTGGCCCCAGTTACCTTGTTGTTAACTGAGGAATAACCATAACTCTTTTAAATGAACATCTAATATGTCTACACCATGATTTGCAATGGTAAATAAGTTCACTGAGTATAGGAAAGCTTGTGAAGGAAAGAGCCATTCAGAACTGATGTAGTTTATCAAAATGTAGCTTCTAGGCTACTGTTCTCTTTAAATTGAAACATTCTTCACATACCTCCTGAGAATAAATTAGTAAGCATTTTTAATCCTATTTTCCACATTTGCAGTCTTGAAAGTATCTACTGGCATACTGAAACTGGAATATAGCAATATATCCATATTGGAATGGATAAGTGTATATGAAGTTGGAAAAATAAAATCACATATGTACTGCTTTTATATGGACTACTGCTCTGATATAATAATACTATTAATGGCTATAATTTACAAGATAGACTATTACTATATAACTATTATTAGTATTACCTGTTACTATTAGATTGATTCTCATTGATGGTCATTTGCTCTGTATTATTTTCTTTCATTTCTGTCCTAAAATGTTAAATCAAGATGGTAACCCTAAAACATCTACTAAAATGTTAAAATACATTTAAGGAACATGTTTAGTGCCACAGTCTTAATTTTTTGTCAATACAGCTGGAGAGACCTTAAAATATATTTATTTTATATTTAATAGTAGCTATTGTCCACCGTTTATATTTTAAAAGTGGCTGCTGTCCACCATTTATAAGAGATAAAATTGAAATTAATACAAGTAGTAAAAAACAGAAATTAAAAATAAAGAAATGCATAAATTATTGTTGTGCTTCTCAGCAGTGAATAACAGAAACTTCTGTTTTGTTACAGGAATGTTTACCCTTGCAGAAGTTGCATCTCTGAATGACATACAGCCAACTTACCGAATTCTGAAACCATGGTGGGATGTATTTATGGATTATCTGGCAGTTGTAATGCTAATGGTTGCCATTTTTGCTGGAACCATGCAGTTGACCAAAGATCAGGTGGTTTGTTTGCCTGTGTTACAGTCTGCTGTAAGTGCGAAAATGCAACCCAGCCCCTTGGGAAGTGCCAAAGCTACAAATATGCCAGAATCCGAAACGCCAGCTATTCAGGACAAAGACAAACAGGCAGCCATGACTGTATCTCTTGACACGACACCTGTCACTACGCCTGATGTACGTAGAACTGCCTATCCCCCATTACACTCACCTGCTGCAAATCAGGAAGCAAAGAAGGAGCAGAAAGATTTTCTGGGCCGTAAGACTAACTTGGATTATCAGCAATATGTTTTCATTAACCAGATGTGTTATCATGTGGCTCTTCCTTGGTATTCGAAGTACTTTCCCTACCTAGCTCTTATACACACAATTATTTTAATGGTCAGTAGCAATTTTTGGTTTAAATACCCAAAAACCTGCTCAAAAATTGAGCATTTTGTCTCTATTTTAGGAAAATGCTTTGAATCCCCTTGGACTACAAAAGCATTGTCTGAAACAGCGTGTGAAGATTCTGAGGAGAATAAACAGAGACTAACTGGGGCCCAGTCCCTGCCAAAGCATGTATCAACTAGTAGTGATGAAGGAAGTCCAAATGCCAGTACTCCCATGATAAACAAGACTGGTTTCAAGTTTTCAGCAGAAAAGCCAGTTATTGAAGTCCCGGGTATGACCATTTTGGACAAAAAAGATGGAGAGCAAGCCAAAGCACTCTTTGAAAAAGTACGGAAATTCCGGGCCCACGTGGAGGACAGTGATTTGATTTATAAGCTCTATGTTGTTCAGACTGTCATCAAAACTGTAAAATTCATATTTATTCTCTGCTACACAGCAAATTTTGTCAATGAAATCAGCTTTGAGCACATTTGCATGCCCAAAGTGGAACATCTAACTGGCTACCAAGAATTTGAATGCACACACAATATGGCTTACATGTTAAAAAAGTTGCTTATTAGTTATATTTCTCTCATCTGTGTCTATGGTTTTGTCTGTCTGTACACTCTCTTCTGGTTGTTTCGGTTACCCCTGAAGGAGTACTCTTTTGAAAAAGTTAGAGAGGAGAGCAGTTTCAGCGATATTCCAGATGTTAAAAATGATTTTGCTTTTCTCTTGCACATGGTTGACCAGTACGATCAGCTTTACTCCAAGAGGTTTGGTGTATTTCTGTCAGAGGTCAGTGAAAATAAACTGAGGGAAATAAGTTTGAACCACGAATGGACTTTTGAAAAATTGAGGCAACACGTTTCTCGCAATGCTCAGGATAAGCAAGAATTACATCTTTTCATGCTATCGGGAGTCCCGGATGCGGTTTTTGACCTGACAGATTTAGATGTGTTAAAACTTGAGCTGATTCCTGAAGCGAAAATCCCTGCTAAAATATCCCAGATGACTAACCTTCAAGAGTTACATCTCTATCATTGCCCTGCAAAGGTGGAGCAGACAGCCTTCAGTTTTCTTCGTGACCACCTGAGATGCCTGCATGTGAAATTTACTGATGTTGCAGAGATACCAGCTTGGGTGTACTTACTTAAAAATCTCCGAGAGTTGTATTTGGTAGGCAACTTGAATTCTGAAAACAATAAAATGATAGGACTTGAATCGCTTAGAGAATTAAGGCACCTTAAGATTCTCTATGTGAAAAGCAATTTGACCAAAATTCCATCTAACATCACAGATGTAGCACCACATCTAACCAAGCTGGTCATTCACAATGATGGTACCAAGCTTTTTGTACTGAATAGCCTTAAGAAAATGATGAATGTAGCAGAATTAGAGCTGCAGAACTGTGAACTGGAACGTATTCCCCACGCCATTTTTAGTCTCACTAACTTGCAGGAACTAGACCTAAAGTCGAACAGCATACGCACAATTGAAGAAGTCATCAGCTTCCAACATTTAAAAAGACTAACTTGTCTGAAATTGTGGCACAATAAAATAGTTAACATTCCTTCTTCCATTACCCACGTTAAAAACTTGGAGTCGCTTTACCTCTCCAATAATAAACTCGAATCCTTACCTGTTGCAGTATTCAGTTTACAAAAACTCAGATGCTTGGATGTAAGCTACAACTCCATTGCGGTGATTCCTGTGGAAATAGGGTTGCTTCAAAATCTCCAGCACTTACATATCACAGGAAATAAAGTGGAAGTTTTGCCAAAACAGCTGTTTAAGTGCTCCAAGTTAAGAACTTTGAGTTTGGGACAAAATTGCATCACCTCAATTCCAGAAAAAATTGGCCAGCTGTTGCAATTAACTAACCTAGAGCTGAAGGGGAACTGTTTAGACCGTCTACCAGCCACTTTGGGTCAGTGTCGGCTTCTCAGGAAAAGTGGACTAATTGTAGAAGATCATCTTTTTGATACATTGCCCTCAGAAGTTAAAGAAGCATTGAATCAAGATACAAGCATTCCCTTTGCTAATGGGATTTAAACAGAATTCGAACTTGGCGATCAATATAGATCATATTAAAGAGCACACTAATAAAATGTTGTGTTGAGAATTTGGAACTTTTTCTTTTTGTAAGAAAGGACTGTTAAGCCCGGTAGAATCTCCTTTGGTGTTCGTAGTATTTTTAAACATCAGTTCCAAAATTTTGGGAGGGCAAAGAAGAAAGGGTGGGGGAATCGTTAAAACAATCTTGATTTTTGTTTCCCTTATGTTTGTAACATGGATGCTGCCGCTTTTGAATGTTTACAAATTGCTTGCCTGCTTAACGTACATGATTAAATTGGTGACCTTTTCTTACTATAAATAATTTTAAATGGCTCTGTTCATTTAGCGCTGTGTTAAAGGCCATAGTTTTCTTTACTTTATAAAATTGGAATGATAATTCAAGTATTATTGTTATTGATCAACAAGAAAAATCTATAGATAATTCAATAGTAAGTACCGTATTTTTCGGAGTATAAGATGCACCGGAGTATAAGATGCACCTACCTTTTTTGGGTTTTTTTAAAAGTTTTTTTTTATGTTTTAGACAAACACACATACAAACATAGAATGTATTTTCTTTGAACAGAGTATTTGGCTGGTTCACAAATTTAAACAGTGTTTAGTCATTTCAATTAAATTTACAATTTCTATATTTCCTTTTTGCCATATTTATTCATCTATTTTTTAAAAAAATCAATATTACCCTTCATCCTCATCTCTAATCTTAATCAAATTCAATTTTTCCCTTCTATTCTATATTATACCCCTTCCCATTGTCATCTATTTTTAAATCCATCCTCACATTGGTTAATTATGTAATATTACAGTTGTTTAATACAAATTCAACATAAATATAATATAATTATATAAATAAATATAATTTAATTTATAAATAAATATAATTAATATAAATCAATTAGTTATATACTATCTTTTTTGTATCAATATGAACATGAATATTTCAATTATTTCCATGCAATCCAATTTCTTACAAATCAATTAATTATATTTACCAATAATAATAAACCAAATAATTTCCCCTCTTATGTTACTCATTTTCACATCTTAAACTCTCCCAATAACCCACATAGTTTTGCCCATATAATCCTTCAAATCACAACTTAATCATTTCTACTTTCATCACAATATATAATTAAAAATATTTCAATCATTACAATTTCCCTAATTAAATTTAAAAATGTTCTAGCTGTTATCCAAGCTACAATTTAATCTTTTTTTACTTTCACCACCATATACCATTAAAGGTATTTCAATTGTTACAGTTTATACTTATTCATATTTCTAAAAAAAAGAAAAAAAGAAAAACTTATCGTTGTCTAAATTTCAAAAATACAAAGACAAATATTCCAATTATTATTCATTTCATTTTTACAATCATGATTTCCCATTTATTTCTTACTACTATTTATATTTCAATTCTAAATATGTATAACATTTTTCTCTTTTATTTCTTTTTCTTTTTCTCCCTTCCCATTTTTATTTTTCCCTTTTTCTTTCTCCTTTTTTTCTTTTGTGTTTAAAATCTTGAACTCTCCTCTTTTGCCCTAAATTTCCCATTGTTTGTACCTACCTTTTTTGGTGAGGAAAAAGAAGAAAAAGAAATCTCCCTCTGCTTCTGCCTAATTTTGCCTTGCTGCAGCAAACAGCCTGCTTTATTTTCAGTTTTGTTTTCAGCGTAGCTTGATTAGCACAAGGAAAAAAAATCTGCTCCAGCAATTTAGCTCTTTGCAGCAAGCAGCAGAACAGCAAAACAGCTGAGAGCAAATCAGCTGAGAGTCAGGAGGCCGATCTAATCAACTTGTGCTAATTAGTCTATGCTGAAGCTGAAAGGAGCTGTTTTTTCTTGCTGTTTGCTTGCAAGGAGGTAACTGCTGCGAGGCACAGGCCAAAGGGTGGGGGGCAGTGGGTGGGCAGGGCTACATTCGGTGTATAAGACGCACCTAAATTTTCAGCCCCTTTTTGGGGGTAAAAAGGTGCGTCTTATACTCCGAAAAATATGGTAATTCAATATAGTTTTCATCTGCCCCACAATATGTAAATAGAAATGTGTTTTCATATAAACCTAATTGCAGTATAGCTGAGAAACTCAACATCAGCTGCTATTCAGATGTTGAAATTCTTTACATTTTCAATCAGAATAGAGCTGGAAGGGACTTTGGAAATGTTCTAGTTCCACCCCCTACTCAAGCAGGAGACCCTATACTATTTCAGATAGGTGGTTGTCCAGTCTTTTCTTAAAACCCTCCAGTGATGAAGGACCTACAACTTCTGAAGGCAAGCTGTTCCACTAGTTTTCACTGTTAGGAAAATTTCTCCTTAATTCCAGGTTGCTTCTTTCCTTGATTAGTTTCCATCCATTGTTTCTTGTCTTGCCTTCTGGTGCTTTGGAAAATAAGTTGACCCCCTCTTTTTTGTGTCAGTCCCTCAAATATGGAATACTGCTATCATGTCACTCCTAGTCCTTCTTTTCTCTAGACGGGCCATACCCAATTCCTTCAACCATTCTTCATATGTTTTTGTCTCCAGCCTTTAATCATCTTAGTTGCTCTTCTTTGCACTTTCCCCAAAATCTCAACATCTTTTTGTAATGTGGTGACCAAAACTGGATGCGGTATTCCATGTTCCAAGTCTTCCGAAGCATTTATAAATGGTATTAATACTTCATGTGATTTTGATTCTGTGTTTCTGCTTATACAACCAAGGATTGTATTAGCTTTTTTTGGCTATTGCTGCACACTGCTGGCTCATGTTTGAGCCATTGTCCATTAGGACTCCTAGGTCCCTCTCACAGTTACTCTTGGGGCTGGGTTTTGCCTAATCTGTACTTTGGTTTTTCCTGTCTAGGTATAAAAGAAATTTTTTTCTTGGGTAATACCCATACAGTTCAGGCAGGCTTCTGAATAGAAACACATAGCATTCGACTACAAATTTTAGCTGGTTTTGGGGCAAAAGTTCTATTTGCTAGTTGTGTTTGAAATTTAAGGTTTATTCAAGAATTGTTTTTATTATACCATCCTTCACTTTGAAAAAATACTAAAATGTCTTAATCTTTCTATGCTAAATGTTTCTTAAGACTATTTAAAATAGATGTTTCTTGTTTTATGGATAACATTACACATGAAAAGTTTTTTAAAACTGCCACTTAGCTTTTGTTCTAAATCAGAAAACAGAAATGACCTGTAAAAACATTTAAAATCTAGAAAATCTTTAAAAAGCAGTGAAGCAATTTGCATAATGGTTAAGGTAGACTAGTAAGGCCTGACTAGGCCAGTGACACATAATATTTATGCTTTGCAGTGCTAGCAGCTTGTGGAAGAATTTTTGCTTTACCAGATGACACAGAATGTACATCATCAAGAAGCATGCTTCGAGTATCTTTGCAAAACAACGAGGAATTTCTTCAAAGCAGGTAGTTGTGCATTAGTAGCTAAAGAGCTTCTCCCTCTTTAACACATCAGGTAGAAGTCAGCATGAATGAACTCAACATTCTGCCCAACCACATGGAGAAAGCATTTTCAGCCAGCAGAATACAGTTGCCATAGTACTTTAGATATAAAAGCCACTTTGGCACAGGTACCAAAGGCAAAGAAACCACAGATGTTCCTGGTTAAATGAGTCCATCTTCCATTATACTCCCTAAAATAGGGGTGTCCAATCTTGGCAACTTTAAGACCGGTAGAGTTCAACAAGTCATGGGCTGGCTGGGGAATTTTGGGAGTTGAATTCAACCGTCTTAAAGTTGCCAAGGTTGAACACCCCTGCCGTAAAACAAATGTACATGCAGTACAAATACTGCTGATTTGTCCATTTAGAATATGGCAACAAGGACAGCTGGATCCCCAGAAGAGAGGATGCTTGGGAGAAAGCGAATCAAAAGACACCGACTTTCCTGAAGTGAGAATTCTAGTCTAGCTGAGGAAGCAAATCCCTTTATCAGAATAGAAGGAATTATCTGGGAAAAGACCTGCTATAAAAGTAAGGGATGCCTGATGATCATGAGCTTGCATTTCAATGCATAGAGTTGTGGACGCGGGCACTGAATTTTCAGTGGCCCTCAGAAACACCTTTGCACATCTGGACCACAGCCACCATCACAAAAGGGGGGAAGCCACATCAGTTAAAGAGCAGCTCTGATCAGCAGCAGCCAAATGCAGCATTAGAGCTCAAACTGGTCCTTCCGTGCTTGGGTTGTTTACTACTTTAGTTGTTATCTTATGTAAGCTGGTCAGTTACCATAAATAAATAAATAAATAAAAGTCTTATGTGGCCCTTTAATTATTATTTGCAGCTGCCAGTTTCTTTTGCTTTGCGCTGCTCTGTTGCTATTTAAAATCAAGGACCTAGCAAGAGGCAATATCATGCCATTTGCTAAAAGTCATTCCCGGTGAAGGGTGGGGGTGGGAGACATTTCAGTAAGAGGACCAGAGGAAGAAATGTACAGTATAGAATTAAAATCCAGTCCCCCATTTCACAGATGAAAATGCTGGAGCCATGACCAAAGCATTTTTTTCCACAAAACGCTGCAGATTTTGCATAAATCGATCCCAGATTCACACCCTGGATAAAAATTTACTTCCAGAAAATAGAGAGCAGCTGTAAAAGTGTAGCAAGGTAGCAAGTTAGGGCAGGGCTGCTTCTGAGTCTTTTGCTGTGTTATTCTGGCCTCATACTGCACTCACTGAAAATCCACGAAGAAGTGACGTTAGTGCTGGAAGACATGTGAAAAGTCTTTTGCGCAATCAGCTATGACTTGCACACAATGGCCAGCACCTCATGAGTATTTTTCCATGATCTCAGAGTATGCAGTTACTTGAAAGGATTTCTAAAGAAATATCTGTAAAACTGAACAGCATTCCTTTAAGAGAAATGAAGCTGGAAGTGCCACCTAATTCCACAGAACGCTTAAAAACTCTTTACTGTAATTATACATGTCATTTGAGCAGAGCCTAATCTAGAAGCATGCCCCTGTTTAGACCTCCAATAATCCTTCACCAATTTGCTGTACCTGCCAGTTAAACATTGATTGGCCCATTCTGAGGTCTCAAAATGCTTCCCTGAAAAAAAATAAGACTACAGACTACAGTAGAGGTGTTGTTTTTTTTTCAAATCCAATATCTGCACGATGATCTATTTTTGAGGAGAAGGTTTACAATGAACACTCACTCTTTTAAGTTTGCTTCCTTGCCTGAGCTTTGTCTTATTGCTGCTTGTTCCAGAGGAAAAAAACCCACAACTCTCGCTGCAAACTAACCAAATTATTATTTGAAATCGTTATATGAAATTCTACATCTGCTGTCTTTACAACAGGCAAAACAATGTACATGGCAACAGAAGGAAACCTACATGTAGTAAAAAGAATCCTTAACATTTCTCATACCTGT